TTTTATAAATAATGGTTTTTTAAAAAACTCACCAAATCTTGTTGTTTTGGTTACAGAGGCCAACATGATTAACTTCAGCATTATTTCAAATCCTTCATCACATGTTTTAAAATTTCTGGATGCGCAAACATGCAACTTCTAGTTGTGATGGCCTGTTGTCTAATGATACTTTAATAATTCTAACTGTTGTATTTAATTAATAGTTGTTTTACAAAACTCAAAATGTAGTTATAATTATTGAGATTGATATTGTCTCATTAAACGATTTTAAACTTTATAAATTTTTAAAATAATGTGTTCTATAGTAAGTAATGAGATTGAATTCATTTTTGTCATTACCTCTATCTATTTCATCATTTTATTCTCCATGCTTGTTTGTACCTTCGTACACAGTCACTTATTCCCACCATCCTTTAATGTTGTCTTATCTGTTGTAACAGATTCTGCGTCTGCCAGATTCTAATTTTTTGGTTAAAATAATTAATAAATCAGTTGAATCGAAATTTTTGAAAGCTCTCAATCACCCGCTGATCTTGAGCAAATCCTGCAACTTTCCATTCACCTTCAACGGTGGATTGTTCTACTCTTGTTCCAACTCACTACCTGGCATCAACAATCCTTGTGCTCTCTACATGTGTCTCACCGCTAATAGGCTGTTGTCCATCTGTCTTGATGATCAAGGTTTTTGATATATTTCATCATTCATAAGAATCATTGGTTATAATTTGTCAGATAAATTTCTTAAGAATTGTAGCATTTAATGACGGGAACATTTTATTTCACCAAAATAAAAATATTTTTATTTATAATTCGAAACAGCCTACAGCGCTGTCAACGAAACCATCTTGTTGGACATTCCAACGTTTGCTAACTCAACTCCTGTCACGTCTGTCAATGGATGGATTGTCATTCAGCAGAGGATTGATGGCTCAACTGATTTCTACCAAAATTGGAATGCATACAAAGTATTTTTTCTATCACAGAGTTAACTTATAATTGATATTAATTAAAAAATCAATCCTTATTCTAACCTGCAGTCCGGATTTGGAACTTACCACGGAAACTTCTGGTTGGGCTTGGAGAAGATGCACCAATTAACGGCATCGGCTGATTACAGGTTGAGGTTTGAAGTACAGAGCAGTGATGGCTGGGTCTCTGATGAATACGATCATTTCAAGGTCCATCTTAGGTTCAACTATTGAAATGTTCATAATTTTAAACAAAACTTTCTCTTCAGATAAACTCCGAAATAAAAAAATACTCTCTGAGCGTAAGTGGATACTGGGGCGCAAACAACGATATCCTGAACAGTAATGACAACAACCACCACAACGGCATGAAGTTCTCTACTTTTGACCAGATCAACACGCCAAATGGATTCGATTGCGCCTCAACTCATTTGGCAGGGAATTGGTTTAATTACTGTTTCAACCAGAATGTTAATGGCCGTTATGATGTTTCATTCAAGTACATCTTCAATAAGACGAGGACCCGTTGTTCGGCCTGTAGGATGTTGATCAAAAAAAATTTGTAGACAGATGCAGGTATCAAACTTTCGTGATGAACATGAAGTGACATGTTATTATATTTGTCAGCGTGTTCGTGCTAGTTGAGTTGTTTCTCATTTGAATTAGTAACACACTAAATCAAAATAGTGTAGAAAGTGCTTATTTAATATTTTATGTTATGTCATTCTCTGTCAACTTGAACGATTCTTAAAACAAACTTCACGCCAGGACATCTCCGGATCTAATTTTCCATTGGCAAATTTTATTTTTTACTTTCATTAGAAAATATTTCTTTCAAATGCTGTGACGAAGTTTGATTACAGTTATGTTAATACGGCAAGATTTGGTCAAACATTTCTTTGAAGTTTCCGGATGAATGAATGATTAAATGAATGAATGAAGGAATAAATGAATGAATGAGTGTATGAATGAATGAATGAACGGACAAACGATTGAGTTTTATGTACATTGAATAAATTTAAAACACAAGAATACAAACTTATATGTTTTATTCCTTCCAGATCTAAATTAATTAAAATCAATTATTCAATTCATTCGATTAATCATTCAATTAATCATTTAATTAATTAATTATTATATACATATATATTTGTAGTATTTTAAATTAACGCAGCAAATTAACAAGCACGACTGAATAAACATCCAAACAATTACGTTTTTTTGGCAAATATGAGTGGTCTCTTTAAAATTATTATTATTATTATTATTATTATTATTATTATTATTATCATTGTTATTGTTATTAATTTTCTTACGAGTATTTATATAGCGCTTTCTTTCAAATATAAAAACACCTCAAAAAGCGCAGAGAAAATTTTAAAAAATTTACTCAAAACTTTGTGCCATCTTCCTTGCAATTTCTCTTTCTCTTCTCTCTCTCTCTTACTTTCTCTCTCTGTGTATATATACAATATACACACTGAAGTCTATAGTATATATACAATATACATACTGAAGTATATATATATATATATATATATATATATATATATATATATATACACATACATATATTGTTAACAATTGATTAGTATGTAGTAATAATATTTCAGTTCTGCTAAATGTTGTAGAAATAATACAGCTTCTAATAGCAGCCACAAAATAAAAATAATTATAGTCAAGAATTCTATTAAATAATAGTAATAATAATAATTATAGTCAAGAATTATGTCAAATAATAATAATTATTATAGTCAACAATTATGTCAAATAATAATAATAAAATAACTGTAATTATTTACAATGTCGGGCATTTTTTGACCATCTTGTATATGCAGTATGTATGTATTCAAGTCAAATATCAAGGAAAACAACAACAATAATAATAATAATAATAATAAAAATAATAATAATAACAATAATACTCACGACAATAATAATAATAATAACAACTATTATTATAACTGTTATTTAAACGTTGGTTTCAGCGGTCGAGAGTCTGTTATTTCTGGCGACAACAACTACCGCATTAGACAAGGATTTTTGGTTGTTGTTGTTGTTGTTGATGTTGTTGTTGTTGATGTTGTTGCTGTTGATGTTGTTGCTGATGTTGTTGATGTTGTTGATGTTGTTGTTGTTGTTTATTTTGATGATGTTGTTACATTTGATGTTGTAGTTGTTGTTGTTGCTTTGTTTGTTGGTGATGTTGTTGTTGGTGATGTTGTTGTTGATGTAATTGTTATCGTTGTTGTTGACGACTGCTGACATGGGGGGTATGATTTTTACGAGATGACTGCTAGGAATGCAACCATTGATGATGTTATTGTAGTGATTGTAGTGTATTGTTGTTGTTGCTGCTGTTGATGTTGTTGTTGATCTGCAAATAATTCGTGACGTCAGCAAAGTCAGGCTGCAGGTAGCTGCCATCTTCGGAAAATGGCGTTTTCAGGTCGCAGTCAGATGACGTCATCATTGACGTAGTCGTCGGCGCCGTTGATGACGTCGAAGTTTTCTTTGAGTTGGAGTTTGACGAGGTGGATGTCGTTAGCAGGAAGTTCTTCGAACTCTGCGTTGATTGGTCGGTCGAATGATGACGTCATGGTTAATAATAATAAAATTAATAATAATAATAATAGTAGTAGTAGTAGTAATAATAATAATAATAATAATAATATTCCAACCTTCTCAGGCAGCCTGGCAGATCAAACACATCATCACGTGATGTGTTTGATCTTGCAGTTGAGAATAATTGAATGAGACCTGATGGATGTTCTCACATGAGTAAGAGATGCATTGCAGTTTTAACTTTTACGTTACAGAGACACTTCATGTATGGCTTACGAGTTTAGAGTTTCAGTAATATTTCAACGTGTTTTGTGTGATTTTCTTGAATATTCATTAGATCGAAACATTTTAATGTCATTATATTATATCTTTAGTGTTTAATTATTTTCATTTTTGAAACATTTCTCATTATAAGAACATTGCTGAATATAAATATCATTTCAAATATTTTACGATCGTCATCATTGTGACGTGTTTTTGCTTTATTATCAGCAGTTTAATAATATTTTTTACTTGCTCATAATTATTTTCAAGATGTATCAACAACACACACAAACACGCACACGCACAGACACGTACACATGATGCAAGTGATGATAGGCGGGAACTTCTTGCGTTTGAAGGCGGTCACCGCAACAGCAGGACCAGGTGCCTCAACTATTACTCCAACATTTTGAAGCAAATTTCATTGCTGTAACGTTTTTAAATACGAATTTTTTCGAATAAAATTATTAGCTGCAATATAAAGCATTTTTTGTTAAAAAAATGAAAGAAAAACAACTAAGCTGCCGTTACATTACGAATTAATACGTTAATACGACGCAAAAATATACTATGATGAGTATTTGATCAAATACAATCACTACTACAAAAAAAAACTTACCGGTATATCCGTGCAGTCGAACCATGTCTCCGCTAGGCCAAACCAGGCGTCTTTAGCCATTAGGCTATCAGTAATCTGTTAATTAAAAAAAATAACTTTTAATTGCACTAAATGAACCATTTCAATTATTCATTTCGTCACAACGTTTGAAAACCTTTGAAACTCAGCAAATTGTAAAGGCGATTGTTTGCTTATTTCAAAGGTAAAAAATGTTTTTGATGTTGTCCATGTTACTAGTATCTTACTATTTTTACCAGTGTATAACAGTATCAGTAATGCAGCATTAACACTACTCTTATTAGTAATAGTAATGATAATAGTAACCAGACGAACATTTTTTTAAATATTATAAATCTTAAACTTATCGATAGAAATGGCGTTTATAATAGTTTAATCCTAATGTAATGTTGTCACTATTTGCCCATTACAATTATTTCTTGAGTATTAATCAGCGATATAGATAACATCAAACCGCGCCAACACCAAGTCACCTCAACGATAATTGCTCAATTAACTTCCAACTCAATTAACTTCCAACCCAATTAACTTCCAACCCAATTAACTTCCAACTCAATTAACATCCAACTCAATTTACTTCCAACTGTTCAAGTGCAAACTTCTAATTGAAACGCACCGAATGAACCTGCCAGTCAATTATTCATTACGTCAGTCGAATTAAAAAGTTTTGAAACACTCCTGGGAAGTGGAAACAACGTCAACAACAAACACGAAACTAAACATATTTCATGAAACATCAGAGCCATTTGTAAAGTTTCTCTCTCTCTTTCCTTCTCTCTCTCTCTCTTTTATACTCTCTCTATTTTTAAAATCAAAAGTACCTGGAAACATCACAACAAAACAACACACATAACTAAAAACATTCGAGTGTCTCTCTCTTTCATTTTTATCTCTTTCTCTCCCTCTCCCTCTCTTTCTATTCTTTCTTCATTTTATTTTTTTTTCTCCTTCTGTATTTCTCTCCGCATTCATTCCATTTAAAATATTACCTGTAACAAACACACAAACCAAAATTTTTTGATGAAACTCAAGAGTCACTAGTTGAGTCTGTCTCTCTTTCTCAATCCTTTTTCCTACTTTTATTCTTTATTCTGTTTCTAACTTTAGCAACATCAATGACAATAATAATAATAATAATAATAATAACAACTACCAACAGCAATAATAATAATTATTATGATTAATATATTTTATATATAATATATTAATATCCAATTAAATTTCATCTCCAAAACATTATACATAAAAACACGAATCAGTGGACTGTGGAACAGTTGATAGGCTGGAATCTGTTGGCATTCAAACCTGGTCACTGCGATAGCAATGCTAGACATCTTAACCACTTCACCAGCACGTAAACCCTCTGTATACCTCTGAAGAACCAAAGAATCAGTCGTCCATGATGGGCACGTTTGGGAACTTTGTGCTTTGAAACGGAAAATTTTCATATTTTCACACTCACTCAACCTGCTAAATTATTCATCTCGTCAAAATTTAAAAATTTGGTTGGACAATTAAATCTCGAAACAATACGTTTTGACTGGAGTATGGCGATATTTGTTATTTTTATTATTTTATGACGCACATTGCTTGTAGGAATGTGCTGTTACTTTTTATACTCTATCTGAAAAGTATTTTTAAAATTTTCAGCACAAATATTACTGATACTTGATAATAGTATTCAGTTACTACAATTTAGTGACTCATTGCCATGAAATCTTACTAAATTCAATCGTAATTCTTTGATGGAGGTTAACTTTCGCGTAATAGGTGCTTTATTTCAATTCTTACCCTCAGTTTCGGTATGAAAATTAAATTTCGTTTCGTTTCGTTTAGATTTACCCAATGATCATTTAACTGTATTATTTTCTATGTAAAGTGAACAGTTTTTACAAAGTTCAAACATAATAAAATAAATAATAGATGATAGTATGCGTTCGGTTGGAATAAGATTTTTTCAGTGTACTGTACAATCAATCATGTGAAGAATCCATAGATACAAAATGAGTAATATTCAATTTGTAACCTTGAAAAATAGTATATTATATTATATTAATTACTAATCGAAATACTTAATCTTGTAACTGAAACTACTAATTTTAAACAGTAATCTGAGTAGGTTTTGGTAACAATTTACATTTCTAAGCAATCAGATTACAATAACTACTAACGAAGAAATTTCATGCAAG